GAATTGCATTCTTTTTGTTTAGTTTAGCTATCATGTTTTTGTATGTTTATCGGAGGAATGCTACTACTGACCTACACAGACATCGGAATTTAGTTGATCCAAAGTATTTTGAAACAGTACTGATCTATTTAGGATGCAATAAGGTTTGTACCGATACGAATTAATCACTTATAAAAATAAAAAAAAACTTGACAAGATCTTAGGCCTTATACACGACGTTCGAAGAAGGGATTTAGTCTATGCATAGTATATAACAAAATTGCTTCCCGCTGTCTGTACGCTGAGATCTTTTAAACTACACAACTGATTTTAAATCTGAAACAACGATAAGGTATCACAACACTTAGTTCCGATAAAATATAACAAAGTTTCTATATTAACCCAACTACAATGTCAATTAACATGACACCAGAAGAGCTATTCTAATTCACCGAAATCGAAATTTCACCTATTTTTGAAATGCCAATACAAAAGTTGCCAATACTATTACATAAAAACGCATTTTTCGATAACTTGTGATACAACGGAGTCAGGGCAAGCCTTGACCCTGCCTCCAGTAGACGATTAATCTTCACGAATGTAACTTTAACGAAAATATAAGAATGATTAAAAAAAATTCCATATTTTCGCTCGAGAACAATTAGGTAATAGAGTAGACCTTCATGCGTCATGTTAATTTGTACGAGTTACATTTTCTGTGGACATTCGTATTCAGCCAAACAATTAATTCCACTATAATATTAATTGGCTCTTTATGTGAATCTATGCGTGACTCAAATCTCACCTTCAATATTAAATACTCTGATAAATAACGTTTATGCTAATATCACAGTTCTTGTAATAAATCGTTTATTGTAATTAGCATTGATCAATGTAACTGGATATTAATTGTGATAATTTTAACAAAATCACTCTGTTCTTGACTGTATAAAATAGAATTTATTACAATTACAATAAAACTCCTTAACCATCCATAAGGAAGGCCTGAGCCCCTGCAGTGGGGACGTAAAAGGGCTGGTGATGTGATGTGACAATAAAACACATCACTATCAGTCTATTACTGTCCCCACTACTGGGACACAGGTCTTTCCTATGGATATATGGAGACAGATAAATAGATCGGTTCATAACCCACCACGGCAATATAATGCGTATTGGTGGATGATGAAATTGAACTAATTATTGTTTTTTTTTTAAATCTGTCCTTTTTTATTCAGGGTAATGCTGTACAACATATTATCTTTGTTCTATTAATGATACTAAAGCCAAAGCAAAACTGTTTAGTCTTTTAAAATTCATGGCGTTTCGATTTGTACTGTATTCTCGATATTTTTGTTTCTTGTTCCTATAATATTGTAGTTTTTTTTTATTAAGATGAAATATGCTAGTCAAAAAATCGATCTACAAATTTTTAGTCTCCTAAGGGATTTTTTTCTACCTAGCTAGTCGATCATATGTTTATTTTTCAGAAAATGATTTTAATTAGGCAAATATTAGTACAGCCTTTGCACATCCACAAAATTTGGGTTACAAAGTGATAATATCTTATAGCCTCGCCTTAAAAGAATGTCTTCATCACCCTAGTATGATTTAGCGTTGAAAATTGTTTAATGCTAAGGCTAATGAATAACCTATTTAAGTTCCTTATTAATGTGTAATATTAGCAGCTGTTTGTTTATTTTATAAATAAATAACAACTGTAAATGCATCTGTAACCAATAACGTTCTTTTTGAAACACGGAGTTCGATACAATTTTAAAAAAATTTGGTCACCCATCTTATAATCGGCCAATATAAAAGTTGCTTAACTTTCGAGCTCATTATAATCAATTCTATGCCATTCTTTAATAGATGACAAATAATTGGAAACACCAGTTGTAGGTATATCCAATAATAGTTATCAGGTACATATGGTTTTAGCGCGTGTATTTTTGAATAATGATTACATCCCATCTCAATTTAGTAAATACGGAACCTAGGATCCAAACATCCAGACAATGTACAACTATATCAAACTAACAAACAATAAGACCATTCAAAAGTTGTTTAATTTATATTCTAGCTCATGAAATATTAGAATTCGCTCGCATAAATTTATAGCCTATGTCACCTGCGCATAACGTACAAGTGCATAGGTTCCCGTATGTGATTTTTTTTTATCGCTTCAGTAGTTTCGGAGCCTATATCAATCAAATCTCTCATCTTTATAATTAGGATATGATAGTAGTTTATCGAGTAGTTTTCAAACTGTTTATTGAGGAAATATATGTGGAAAACACCTTTATTGGGTTTCGCAATAAACAAGAATCTCTAATAGTTTGAGAGTGTGATAGAGTAGTAGAATAACATATTGAAATCATTTTTTTCTATTTGTAAAATAGAGATCTATTGATGTCTCCTAAATTAAAAAAAAAATACAATCTTACAAAAGACGCGTTCTAATATAGTTAGGTATTGTCTTAAAGAGTCATTACTAAAAATTGGAATATCCAGCCACTTTCAGACCTTGTTTTACTTCGTATTTATATTAAATATTTTTCTTTTTTATTGCAGTATATTTTTTTGGAAAGTAATCCGTTAAGAATCCCGAAGTTGGAACTGTGTTACGATAGCTATATAAATAAATAAGTAATATGTATTTTTAAAATAATTTAATGTAATTTAATAAATTTAAACGTTGCCATAAAATATGTTTTTCTTTTATGTATTGTGAATGTTTCCAACAGTATTGGTTTTTGAACGTAGCACTACCTTAATCTTATGCGAACACGGAACCTGTAGACTTGTAAAGGGTCCGAAACGTCAATAAAACTAAATACAAACGAGATAAAACCGTTTAAAATTTGTTTCATTTATGGATAGTGCGCGTGAAAATATAAGAAATCAATAATCTGTTATAGATTCAGTCTGTGTAATGCATGTGATATTGACATTTTATTATTAATATTAGAAGATAAGTATTATACAATAAAATAACATACATAGTATACATTAACGAGGAAGCAAAATAATTTCCCGGTACGTTAAGCAATTTCCATAATTCCAAATAGAATCGAAATACATCCTGTAAAAAATTTACTTACAGGAAAAACTTTTTTGTTGAAAATACAAACGCATTTTACGTTATTAAATCGCAAAGAATAAATCTATGAAAAAGTGGTAACACAAAAAAGCTATTACTTACGTAAGCTTTGCAAGTGTTACATGAAAAACGAAATTCATCTAAATCGGCTAGTTATTTTACTACGTGATCTATTTTGCAGACAAAAAAATTCTTAACAAGCGCTTCCAAGCTCATAATTTAAAACTAGCTGTTTCCCGCGACTGCCAGTATATTTCGATATACTATGGGCTATGTCATACGCGTGTGATGTAACTTACTGTAGGTGATTCTTTTCAATCGGTCAAATAGTTTTGGTTTCCGGGTGCCGCCATCTCTTAGTCCCGGGTTCGATTCCCGGTCAGGTCAATGTATAAAATGAACTTTTCTATATTGACTCGGGTCTGGGTGTTGTGGTACCTTCGTTGTTGGTTTAGCTACTCATCTTGGAATCTGAGCAATGTATGTGATGTTTTTGAATATAAAAAAAAAATTAAAAAAATATATATTATTTACCTTTAGACGTAATAAGTGGTCTTAAACGTTTTGGTTTTGTAATCCTTTTGAGAAAAATTTTAATTGTGTTCTTAGAACAATATGATATTAAAATTAAACATCTCCATGGGGTGGCGAAGCTCGGTGGGGTAGTGGATAAGTGCTACGTCTCGCTATTGTTGTTGTTGAGCAACTTTCGGAAAGGTCGCTCACAGGATGTGTGATCAAACAAAAATATTATCTCGGGCTACTCCATCCACTGGAAACCACATTTAGCTGTTGGTCCCGGCTGCATTTGTTGTCGTTGATACCCTTCAATCCGCATTGGGCCAGCGCGGAGGCTCATGGCCTTTCCTCCATAACCTTAAATAAGAAAGGTGTCTAAAAGAGCTGATGATAATGGTGGTAGCATTAATGTGGGTAACAAGCCCGTGATTTAAGACATCTCTGAAGTCTTCAATTAGTTACCTTGTTGAGTAAATATAGACCATGAACTTTTCTATGTGATATACATAGTGCTTATCACTTCAGTTTTCTAAGATACTAGGCCTGAGTTTGTAATTAAAAATGATATTGTGAATTTTATCTTCCCTTTCACAGATATCAAACCAATAAATCACTTTACTTTTATACTATAAGTAGATGTCTTCCCGCGAATACGATCCCCGTAAATTATGGGTATGTTCCGATATACACTGCGAGCACTGCGCAGTGGTCTTACTGCTGAAAAATCCGTTCCGTTATGGACTGCCAGTACACTGCTACAGTACCGTAGAGAAATTTATGAGGTCATGAATTGCCGCCATATTTGTACTGTGAGCACTGGAGATTTCGAGGTAAGGTGCTCGCAGTGCTTTTGACCACGTGATCAGACGAAACAGATAAAATAAAATACTTACGTTTATTATAAGATGGATTTAATTGATAAATATTTTTTTGTATACAATTTTCCAATTTTATAATATTTTCTTTTGAAAAGAGGGAATCTTTAAAAGTCACCAGTATAACTAGCTATAAAGGAACGGGCTTCCAGTATACTAAATTGACGTCATACTGTTCAGTGGTCGCAGTGTATATCGGAACGTACCCTATATGTCATCCGCGTATGTTGTAATTTTCCGTAGGTGAAGGAGTTTTTAAAAACGGTCCATTCATTTATAGCCTATTCAATGAAAATAAACAAATCTTTCCCCTTTTTATTATAAGTATAACCTATACCACTTAATGAACAACTCCTTCATTAATAAAACCATATTGTCTATAGTGACACCGATAATCAAAGTTTTTCGATCACAAAAACGAAGGACCGACACGAACTGGTAAAGTTGATCTAATTAATGGAGAAGAATGCAAGGCGGGCGGGGCTGAAAAGCTTTCAAGGTTGGATAGGAGTGATGCCAGGTTAGTAGCCGTGTAGTAAACCATACCGGCGCACGCGTCAATGATACAACCTTTGATAAACTTAGAGGTTGTAGCACAAATTTAAAAATAAAATTTTACACTAAAAAAAATAGAGTTCGAAGTTCCAAAAAGTTTGCACGAAGTCGAACGTTTTCGAAAGGAGCGCGCGAAAGATTTTGACAGTTTCGTGGTGTTGCCTCTTGAAAAGATTTTTTTGTGTTTATTTTTTTTTAACTGCAATTTTCGGGTGAGTACTATTTTTGTTTTAGTTATAATTACTTATTTAATTTGAAAGTTTCTTTTTTATATTTTGAAAATCTCAAAATACAAATAAAACGATAATTATTAAAATTGGAAGGGTGCTTCTTTGAGTTTATAATTTATTATTCGCATAAAATATGATCTACAAAAGCTTTCATGGAAATAAAAGTATCGCTTCGCATTTTCCGGATCAATTCAAAAATTCGTGTAAATTTTTATAGTCACCGTTTATTTTAACAATAATTAGAAAATTAATCATATTCACTTTTATTATTTATGCACTTCAATATTTAATTTATTTTAAACTGTAGATAAACGAAATCAAATAAGTATGTGGCTTTAGAATATATCCAATATGACGAAGTGATTTGCATTATACATGTAATCTATGATTTTCCAACAATAGACAATATCCATTTTTCTAAATCAAGTAAATAAGGTTTCTAGGGCTCTGGAGGGATGAGAATGAGGTCATGGTCAGCAACGCGCGTATGGCATGAGTGATTCTCGCTTTTTACAACGATATCCACAAGACACGTGTTTAAAAATAAAAGACAGAATGGATGAAAATATGGCAAAGTTTTTTAACCTTTACATTTTACAATTATAAAACATTTTTGAAAAAGCAAATGAAACTCAACTGAATTATAATTAAATTAAATCCGGGATATATAATTGTAATATACATGAAAAATTATCACAATCCCAATGATATATTGTTTAAATATTTCGTTTATTATTAACAATTATAAAAGCTAAAAATCCCAAAAACTTCTTATCTAAACCTTTTTAAAAGAATTTTTGGTAAACCACTAATTTTGGTGGAAAAATCACTAACAATAAGTTGACAACACTACTCTCGCCGTATACAAGAGTAAAGAAATGTTTATTGAAAATTTGAACTTCGTTTGTTTATTTCTTAATTATGATATTAGTCTAGAGTCTATACATTTAAGCAGCTCAGCAGCAGCACGGGATTGGCTCGAATTTTAATTTCCGCTAGCTGCCCGCGCGCCAACCACGCGTCACCCGTCAGGTGCAAGCTCGCACACCGCAAGTTGCAAACTATTGCTATCGGCGACGATGAGCTTGTAGGTTTAATTCTGCTAATGTTTATATGTATTACTATTAATATTGGACTTCAGGTATCTACCTGGATTTCATTGTACTATTTAGTATAATGGTAAAATGCAAGTCGTTGATATTCAATTGAGCAGGCAGCTCGCCATCGCGTCGGCTGTAATGTAAGCACGCTTAAACCGCGCGGACCACTATGTAACAACTAGAAGTTGATAGCGCACTTTTGGCATTTTTGTATTAACGTTGTGAAACATTATACGATATACTATTTAATACTTAAATTGGAATGATAAGTAACTTGCTGGGTAGACCCGTGTCTTGTAAGTGTTCTGAGTTTTTTATTGCCCTAAAATGCCCTTATTTGTATTCGACAATAAAAACTTTAAAGGTTCACTTCAAACATTGAAAAAGTGATAAATAATACTTATCTCAAAAGCGACTTAATCAAGAAAATGCTAATGAAGCCTATCATTTAATTTATAAACCTACAGAAGACCTGCGCCTGACCTCAAAAGCATTTTCTTGAATAAGTCGTTTTTGAGATAAGTATTATTTATAATTTTTTTAAACATTGAAGTCGGTTCTATTTTTTTCAAGTTTTTATTTCATGCTTTTTAGTGATATTGATATTTTTTATATAATAGGTAACACTAAAATATTACATACTAGCTTTCTGCCAGCGGTTTCGCCCTTCCCTAGGGAACTGTTTATTATAATTACAATGACAAATTTAAAAAAAAGCAATCGTTAAAATAAACCCATAGTAATGATTGTTACCCTATACGAACTTCCTATGCCCATTTTCATCCCTTTATTTATTGTTTTTCGGGTTTAAATATAACAATAAAATCTTTCCTCTTTGTAAAATTAGTATAGATATGATAAAGAGAAAAGATTTCATTGGTTGTATCTATATAAATAAATATTTAAGATTGTGAATGTCTTAGAAAAAATATATTGCTATTTACTCGACATAATTTTATCCAATATTTCTATACTCATAATATAAAGACGAAAGATTTAATTACTTGTTTGTTTGCATTGGATAGGCTCCGAAACAATTGGAGCGATTTATAAAAGTCCTTAATCTACGGGAAGTTACATAATAAGCGTTAGGCATACGCTATAATTTACGCAGGCTAAGTCGCGGATAAACAGCTAGTTTGATAGAAATTGGTTCACAGTTCAAGAACATACACTTTAAGTATTTATACATCATTGCCTTGAATATGGAAAACCCTCCTTTGGAATTTTGAATAAATTTAAGCAATCTTTTGTTTTTTCTTTCGAGATACATGAAATACAATACATATCATTTAAATAATTAGGTGATATATGGTCAAAAGCGTTGTTTAATAAAATGGTTTGTTATGAAATGAAAAATACTGATTCCTTTTCGATAAAATTTAAAATAAAAAAAGAATTTTGAAAATCGGTCAACATACATAAAAAAACATACATCATCGTCGAACATATAACCTCCTTCTTTTTTATTTTGAAGTCGGTTCAAAACAAGATTATACGAAGGTTTTTATTTCTTTTATTTTTTCTCTGTTATGAAAATGTAAGCTAAGTGATTGATGATTAATATACAATTTAAACAACTGACTTCATGATCTACCTACAATATAAAAGCTTTATTAACATTCAGAGTAATTTTTAAATACCCCAAGGCTATGAAATTATATAAAGTTTGTATGGTAATCCCTTGTAACAATTACTATTTTGATAGTATGCTACATACTAAAAAAGTCATCAACATTATTCCGGGCATTTTTCGAAGTTTTCCTTACATTAAAATATAATTAGGATTTGACGACGTTATAAAACACAAATAGGTATACTCATTCCATACTGACCACAAGTAAATCACGTTATAATTCAAATTTATACACCATTGTTGTATTATATTCGATACACAATTGAGATAAATATTAAAGTTAATAATTCTACGAACCTGAAACTTTTAAAACCAGTACAGCAAAAGTACCTCATAATAATGTTACCGATCTAACCTTGAACTTCATACAAACTACGAAAAGTGAAAGGATGGATGACGTTACACATTAAAGCGCCATTCGTATGTAATTCAGAGCTTATCTGAATTAAGTTTTACAGAAAAGACAAACAATTACAAGTGGATATTGATAATATCAAATAATAGCTGTGATCCCGCGATTTCGCTCGCGTAAATTATCGCTTATATAGTAAAAGATTTTTTTTAGTGTTTCTTAGCCTATTTTATCACCAGCCTTTTACGTCCCTACTGCAGGGGCTCAAGCCTTCCTTATGGATGATTAAGGAGGATGGGCCATGACCCTCCACGCTGGCCCAATGCGGATTGGAGGGTATTAACGACTGCAAATTCAGCCGGGACAAACGGCTTAACGTGCCTTCCGAAGCACGAAGTAGCTCGAGATAATAATTTTTTGGTCACCCATCCCGTGACCGACCCTTGCGAAAGTTGCTTAACAACAACGATCGCGGGCTACGGCGCTTACCCTCTACGCCACCGAGCTACTTAGCCTATTTAATGCAAACAAACAAACAATCGAGTCTTTTCTTTTTATAATATTGGTATAAAGATACTTGTAACTATTTCATTATGCTAACTAAAGAACTAAAACTAACCAAAGAACATAATAAACTTATTCTGCAAACTAATTAATACGTAACTCTGTAAATTCCGTGAATTATTTATCATCATTTCAAATATGGGTCGAGGTATTTGTGTCTCTATTGAAAACAATTTAATTAATCAGAAGGCCTTTTATAAAGAAGCCACTAAGTTGTACTTGTTGAATATATTTTAATTTATGTTTATAATTATTTAAAAGTAGGTCTCTTTTAATTTCTCATGATTATATTAGTCAGTGGTGATTGTAATTGGTTAAAATATATATTAAACTATAAAGTTTATTGAAATCATTGCACTACGTTTTACGATAAATCTTTGACCGTCCACGCTGTACGCTTATGGAATGCACTACCATTATCGATTAGAAAAATCAATTCTATTAATTTATTTAGGAGACTTGTTGGAGAGCACTACTTGTCCATGATAATATGTATATAGATATATTAATATATGTATTACAGTTCATATAATAATAATAGTTATTATATTATTGTTTAATTAATTGTATATGATAGTTAGTGTATGTATTTATGTAGGTTTATAAAAAATTAAAACCATAATTCTTTAATAATAATATCCATCCACTACCCCATAATTCGGTCTTATATATTTAACTCTATCACAAGGTTGCCTGGAAGAGGTCACTTTTGTGATAAGGCCGTCAATTGTACATACGTCCCCTATATGCGAAATATAATTGTATTTTGTTTTGTGTATACAATAAAGAATATTCTATTTCTACACATATAACTATAAAAAGAAAAATAATAAGTCTCGTTTGCAATTAAATATTTTCCTGTTTCATTTTCGCATACACACGATCCTTCTCAGATCATTCAATGCAGCTTTGTTCCGGATATTGACCCCTAGACTGCAATCGGCTGCGTCAAGCGGCGAATGTACACGAACCGGCTGCAGCTGACTTTTTGTTTTTTAATTGAAACTTTTTTAACGCACTCGAAACTATGTTTTTATTATTTATAGTTTTGTATTGAAGTTACGCTAATTAGTTTAATTCATAATTAATTATTTTTTATATAATCTAATTTAAATTATAATCGAGATTAAACAATGCAAAAGAGTGAAGCAAAAATTGAAAAAGTATTACGAAAAAAGTATATAGTGATGTAGTTCGCTAATTACATCTATTTGAAATTTATTATTTTATCGACAATTTTATTGATTCTGCTTATGCGTTGTCTTGATTACATAGAATGAAAATTTGTCACACTTAATTTGAAATGTGACCCTGAGTTGGTATTAATCAA